ATCCTTTCATGCGCTGCAACTGTACACAAAATTGAATTTTGGAGGTTGTAATTAAGTTAGATTTTATATCTAGCAATAAATGACAACTAGAAATTTCTATATAATAATAAGTTGAACAGACCTTCTAACTGCAATGTAAGCTAAGTAACAGCTATATAAAATTCTCCTTTCACTAAATAACCGTTAAACTTTTTTTATATCCCCCTTTGTTAGTATTGTAATATGGCAGAAGTTATTCCTATTCGTTAGCCAAAAACCTTACACCATTTGTTGATCATAGACCATAGGAACCAGGTATGTTTGTTAAATTTATTTTTAGTGAAATTGCAGTACCTATTATACAATAATATGTAACTTATTCAACAAGATTCTTTTATATCTGGCATAGAGGATTCGACAAGTAGAACATGAGTTCCTGACTCTGTTTGGCTATGAACTTGCATGTAAATGGACAGTTGTTGACCCAACTAGAAATGAGCATGTAGTTGATTTTCAGTGGGATGGTACTAGAGGTTTTATCTCTTCAAGATGGATGGAACTAAGAGCATTCTATAAGTTAGAAGGAATGCATTGGTTTAATTTGAAATACAAGGAAAATAATATTTTTGTGCTGAAAATTTACAATGATGAAGCAAATTAGATTGTTTATCCTTTACCACCAACATTCAGGGTAACATTAAAGCATTATCAAACTACTAGAAGCCAGATGGTAACTTAATTTTTAATATTTTTATATGTTTTAATAATTAGATGTTTGAATTATATTTAACAATCTCCATTTTCTATGACAGTATATTCCTGTTGCTGAGGTTGGTCATTTCCTAAAATTTCCCATGGAAAGATGTATACTTCGGGGTCCAAACAGAATTGAAGTTTCATGCAAATTGTTGAACAAATTGAGACCAAGGTCTATTAGAATTGGTGCAGGTTGGAAAGAATTCTGCAAGAAAGAAATATTTGTACATTTTCTTTTAACAAAGTGGGCCAAGCAGTAGTTGATGTTACTTTTAACAATGAGTAATTTATTTTATATTTAAGAAAATTAAGTTCTGTAATGTAACAACTATTGAAGGCAACAAAATGAGAGTGTTATTTTGTGAAATTATTTTATTTCTAAGCATGCTTTAAAGAAATGATTTAAACACTAAAAAGTTAGGAAGCAATAAAAAGTTACGCTAATATGATAGTTATGTTGCATGTATGGAAGTATAAGAGTCGCACATGCAATTTATGTCATAATGCAAGACTTAAGTCTTTCAAACAGGATTATGTTTTCCTTGCACATATGATCATTAAAATAATTTATCAGCTTAAGGACAACTAGAAAAACATTTACGGTATATTTGTACATTATTGGCATAATAGACTCATGTTGCAGAATATTCATTACAAAACAAAGTTTTTACCTTATTTTGTAAAACAGAAGATAGTAATTTACATTTGAAGAAATGATGACTTATAAATAAACCACATCAAGTTAATATAAGATCATTAATGAGTATGTTTCACTGAAGAATTGAATTTTTAGCAACTCAACCAAATCACAAAATTAACATGTACAAAGTAGACTTGCATGCACAAAAGTATAAGAGTCACACATGCAAAGCATGTCAGAATGCAATACTATTCCTATTACATAAGTGTGACATATTAACTCAAAAACTTAAACTTGAACCTTTTTCGTATAATCAGTACAATAGATTAATAAGCTAAGCACCTAATAATGATACCAAGTTCCTATAATACAGTATTTGATTAATAAGAAGTATAAAGGTAAATACTCTTTATTCATATTTTCATTCGAGATTCTGTGCTTCAGTTCTTTTATGAAGAACAATTTGCAAGTTTGTTATATTCAAATACTTATAGATAATAGATTAATGGATGAAGATTTCAATTTTAACGAATCAAGCAAACAGATAACACGAAGCAATAGAAAATAGATTCTGCAAGAAAAAAAGTTATTAGAAGTCAAAAATATGGTATGTCATCTTCATTTTTTGAGTTAAAATTATTATACATATGATACAGTAAAATAGTTTTGGAAAGTGTTTTGATATTGAATTTATGATTTTTTGCAGGAGATAAAAATGCAGATATTTCTAACAAGCTTTCTTTAACACAAGAGTTATCTCCTAACCAGAACTTAGGTTGAAAAAAAACACAATTTATTAATTTAAAATCTATTAAACTCATTTAAATTTATGTTAAATTTAATATATTATTTTCATGTTGAACAGATTATAAGAAGAAGAGAAAACTTCTTAACATTTTATTGAACGGTATTCAAATTATTAACTATCATTCGCAATGTTTGTTGATATAATTTATTCAAAAGAATTGTATTTTTAAATACTACTTGATTTGAAAGTTCAACATCTGAAAATTGTTCTCCTTCGAATAATTGTGCAGTTAGTGAAGTGAAGAAGCGCAGATCATCACTATTACAAAATCAGATACCATGTTCAAGTTTATATTCTTTAATCGCTTTAAATCATAATTGATATTCTTTAATTTTATTACCTTCCAAATCAAATGAGTTATAATTATTTATGTTATTTCAATAATTGATCAAGTGGATCAGAAATTATAAATCCATGTTCATCAATATATGCAAAAAAGTGCTCAGTTGGAGATCCAACAATAATTAATTTATTAGCTAGACCTGGTTGAAATCTACTTAATGAGTGCAATGATAATGAATCTGCAGATTGGGAAGGAATATCAGCAAGTCCATTATTTCAATTATTTTTCAATCAATTGTAAATTGGATTCATATTTTACTCTTCTTACACTAAAATTACAACTCTTGATGTTAGCAGTTGATTCTAAACAACTAACAACAAATGTTTATCAATCAACATTAGATCTGCATATTAAGGCTGAAAAAGAAGGTAAAGAGTCAATATTTCACATAGATTGGATTCAAGTATGAAGTATTGCAAATAATGATATTTTTTTGGAATATTACAAATGCAGATACTTTAGATGTTGGAGATGCTACATACATATATTCTTCATGTAAAGCATTGATGTGGTATGATGAACATTGTGATAAATCAAAAAATCCAATAATTCTAATTTTTTCATACTGTTGTATGAAAGGAAAAGTTCAATTAGCAACATTGCCAAAACCTCCCCTTCTCATTTGCAATTTGATGTCAGGAAAAGATCCAAGGAGCAAGAGTTATAAAGAGAACATAAGATACTATAATAGCATGTTTTCATTTACTTCTATTAGTGGAAAAGTTGAAACCTCTATGAATGATGGATCTGGTGCTCCTTAATTTGTTCCAAGTGGTCAAAACTTTCATAGAATTGGTAGCTTACTTCCATCTAAAGGAAAAATTCCAAAGTATGCTCAATTATACATCTTTGATACACATAATGAAGTTGCAAACAAAATGAAATGTTTTAGGTATAAATCAAGACTATTACTCAAATAATAGGACTGTACACATTTCACATGTATTCAATTATTCATATTAAATTTATTCATGTATATTTGCAAGAAGAATAAATCAGAATTTCATTTAGAAGATACTTTGGTCACAGACTTGACCAAAATGATTGATGATCATAATGTATTGGCTCAAAGCTTCAGAAGAGTTAGAGACCAATTCTCTAACAATTGTGCTTCCGATTTCAGCCTTAGACTATTTAGAAGTAAAAGAAGAGATGCAGGATGTATAATCTCCCTTCCTCAGATGAAGTTGGAGCATTAGTAGTTGAATATTTTGATACTTCAGAAATTGGTAGAGATATCATAGTAAAGAAAAATTCTGGAGATTTAATGAGAATACATGAAACTCATACAACTTTTATACCATTACAGTATCCTTTATTATTTCCATACGGAGAAGATGGATATCAAGAAGATATTCCTATCAGAGGAACTGATCATGGAGGCAAAAATAGGAAAAGATTGAGAATTACTCTTAGAGAATTTATAGCATTTAGAATTCAACAGAGAAATGTTGAATTTGGAAATATAGTGAATGGAGGAAAATTATATCAACAATTTTTAGTTGACACATATACTATGATAGAGTCTCAAAGATTGTCTTTCATAAGAAATAATAAATCTTCAATCAGGTCTGAAATCTTAAATTGCATTGAAGAGGCTGTAAGTATAGGTGAAACAGATCCATCATCTGCTGGAAAACGTGTTATATTACCTGTTTCTTTCACTGGAAGTATGAGATATCTATTTAATAACAACCAAGATGCAATGGCTATCTGTAAAAAAGTTGGATACCCTGATCTTTTCATTACATTCACCTGCAACTCAGGTTGGGCAGAGATAACAAGATTCCTTGCTGCAAGAGGATTAAAAGCTGAAGACAGATCAAATATTTCATGTAGATTGTTTAAAATAAAGTTAGATACAATGATCTTAAACTTAAAAAAGGAAAAGTGTTTGGAAAATTTGATGCAGGTAATTTATCACTTTTCTTATTTTATATGTTTATGTTATTAAAATTAATATAAAATCCAGTTATTATGATTTTTGACAAAACTTAAATATAATGTTTTCATAGGTATGTATACTGATAACCACGTCGCAATGGTATCAAACAAGCTAGATTTTCTCAAAAATTGTGCAATACAAGAAGCAAACCTAGGTCACCTCTCAAGGACATAAAATGCATTTTATTTTTAGTTCCATCATGCAATTTCAAATTAGATTGGGGGAGGATTTGTTTTGAATTTAAACGATAAAATAACAAAAACGAAAATTAAGGATTATGAAATTCAATCAATTCAAGATCTCAATCCCTACAATGCAATTCTCGTCGTTCACACAAATATAATCCCAACGAATTTCCAATCACACTAATTCAATGCGCATCAACAACCCTAAAATCTAAATCTAGATTATGAATTCCATCAAAACAAGAACCGCAATCGCAAACCCAATGCTTTAACAAAATTTAGAACAATTGATTGATTAAATTAGGTGAATCCAATTAATTCAAATCTGAAATTAACCTATTCTTTCTATTTAGGATGCAATGAAAATTCCATATCATGAAAAACGTAATTAACCTAATTAGAAAAGAGGAAGGAAAGGAGGAATTCGATAAAACCTATTTTGAAACTCGAATGCAATGTAGTTTTTGAAACCTTGAACCGGTTGATGAATTAGCCTTGCTTCATAATCATGTTGCTCGACCAATTAGAGAAGGGGATGAAGTTTCCGAAAATAAAAGAGAAGGAGACGAGAGGAATCCTTACGAAAGCTTTTATTTAAAATTCTGAAAATTAAGGCAAAAAAAGAGGGAAGAAGATCCCCACGTGAAATCATAAACCCTATTTAAAGACAAAATAATTGGGCTTAATTAAGGCCCAGCTTCCTAACGAGGTTCCTAAAACCCTAATTAAGTAATGTCAACAATAAAACCAAATTCTAAAAAATTAATTGCAGGACCGCAACATTGTGACGCAGTTTTGGGCCTGAAGATGTTCGAACTGGGCTTTTCTCGCAACAGAGAAGTTGTAGATCTCTCTCTTATCTTTCCAGGGATACCAATATTGTCCAATTCCGAGTAGTGTAGCTCCAGATATGGTCTTTTCAAAAAACTGTGTCAAAACAAGAATTTATGGCGGGAATTAAGAAAGATTTAAATTTAAATCCTAAATGACTTACCAACACAAATCTAAACTAACACATCAAAATAATATACTAAAAAGACTCAATTAAATTGAAAACATAGAGAGAAAGATGTATTAAAATATGAGTATCATATACGGTAGAATTTTGAGAAAGGAGACTTTCACATGTTCATATTTTGTTGTGGTTAAATGGAGAGAATAAGTTAAATCCACCAGATCAAATTGATAAACTTATATATGCTGAATTGCCTAACCCGAGTTCTTGCCCAAGATTATACAAGGCAGTTACAAAGTTTATGGTTCATGGTCCATGTGGAACTGGTAACCGTAATAGCCCATGCATGAAAGAAGGATATTGCACAAAATATTTCCCAAAAAAATTTCAAAATACTACTTACATTGATGAAGATGGCTATCTTTCTTACAGAAGGAGAAATTCTGAAATTACAACAAAAAAAAAAGGAGTTGAGATGGATAATAGAAATATTGTTCCTTACAATCCAATTCTTTTGATGAAGTACCAAGCCCATATTAACATGAAGTATTGTAACAAGTCAAATGCTATTAAGTATTTATTCAAATATGTGAACAAAGGTCTAGAATATTCAGGTATCAAATTTGGCTTATTTTACATTGCTTCCTATTTAAACCTATTAATTTCTTCCTTGTTTGTAACAGTTCTTTACTTTGGTGGTCCGAATATCTCTATTATGTACATATTTGTTTCTGAATTTTTTGAAATAAATAAAGCATATGGAGTTTTTGTAACAACAATTGGTATCTTTATTACACTAGCTAAAACTTATTTGTTCTTATTCGTTTCTATCACAACAAGATGGACTTTACCTAGCTACCTTGGAAATATCCAAAAATTTGACAAGGATGGAAATTCCTGTTTTGTTGATGAAATCAAACAATTTTACAATTGCAGATATCTTTCCTCATCTGAAGTTGTATGGAGAATCTTGGCATTTGATATTCATGAAAGATGGCTTGCAGTTCAGAGGTTAAATTTTCATTTACCCAATCATCAAGTTGTTTTTTTTAGAGATGATGAAGGAATAGATGATATTTTTAACAAAAATAAAGACAAAGATACCATGTTCATAGCTTGGATGGAAGCAAATAAGGTGTATCCAGAGGTTAAAGAGTTGACTTATGCAGAGTTTCCTAATAAGTTTATTTTTTATAGGGAGAATTGTAAATGGCAGCCAAGAAAGAAAGGTTTCTTAATTGGCAGGCTTCATTATATCCCTCCAAGGACAGGCGAGCTTTATTATCTATGTTTGTTGTTAACAATGCAGCGTGGTTGTTGTGATTATGAGAGTATAAGAACTGTTAATGGAGTTATATTGAACAATTTTCAAGAAGCATGCTACTCATTAGGACTTCTATGTGATGACAAAGAATTTGTTGATGGAATAAAGGAAGCAAATGAGTTTTGTTTAGGACATGAGCTACGAAAACTATTTGTGACGTTATTAATGTGCAATATAATGGTCAAACCAGATTATGTGTGGGAGAAAATAGGGACGATGCTATCTGATGATATTCTTTATCAGCAAAGGAAGAAAAATAGGAATCTAGGTATTAGCTTTATTTTATTTAAGAGTACATGATCATTGTTTGTATACATTTTTTTTCTGAAATTCTTTGTATATAAGGACTAAAAATATTTTTAATAGTTGGATATTTGAGTAATGAGTGAACTTATCCTATTTTTACAGATTTTACTTTAAATGACCAAGACTTGAAAAATCTTTGTTTGGTCGAGGTTGAAAAACTTCTTCAAAGCAATGGAAGATCATTAAGAAACTACACCTGTATGCCAATTGTATAAGATTCAATTTTCAGTTTGGTTGAAAATAAGTTTAGCAGATGAGCTCAATTACAACACAATTGAATTGGCTGAACAACACTGTAGACTTCTAGATTCTTTAACAATGGAGCAAAAAGTTGTTTACCATGAAATCATGAACTCAGTCTTAAATAAATCTGGTGATTTTTTCTTCTTATATGGATATGAAGGAACAGGAAAAACATACATTTGGAATACTCTATCAGTAGCTCTTCGATCTAAACGACTGATTGTTCTCAATGTGGCTTCAAGTGGTATTGCTTCTTTACTTTTTCCTGGAGAAAGGATAGCTCATTCCAAATTTTCAATTCCATTAATGACTAATAATACATCCACGTGTAAAATCAAGCAAAGAAGTTTGAAAGCTGATCTATTAATCAACACAAGTCTTATCATATGGAATGAAGCCATCATGCTTAATAAATTTTATTTTGAAGCTCTAGATCGTACATTAAGAGATCTAATGAGAGTGAGAAATTCAAATAGTATGAATGAACCTTTCGGTGGAAAAGTTGTTGTATTGGGAGGAGATTTCAGACAAATACTTCTGGTTATTGCAAAAGGTAGTCGTGAAGATGTTCTTTCAGTAACTGTGAACTCTTCTTATCTATGGGCTCATTGCAAAGTGCTCAAGTTGACAAAAAATATGAGATTATCAACATCAGTAGAAAACACTTCTGCTATAAATGAAACTAAGTTTTTTGCAGATTGGATTCTTCAAATAGGCGATGGACAAATCGGAGTTCACTATGATGAAGATTGTACATTTGAAATTCCAGAAGAGTTTCTCATTCTTAAAAAGGATAATAGTCTTATGCATCTAGTAGAATTTGCATATCCAAATTTAGTCCATAATTGTGCTGATTTTAAATTCTTTGAACAGAGAGCAATATTAGCACCTACTTTAGAAAGTGTTGAGAAAGTAAATGAATTAATTATCTCTTTGATGCCCGGAAAAGAAAGAGAATATTTAAGTTCTGATTCAACTTGCTCATCTGATGAAAATTCTGAAACAGAAGGTGAGTGGTTTACTACTGAATTTTTGAATGAAGTTAAGTGTTTAGGAATTCCAAACCACAGATTAATTTTGAAGATATGTGTTCTAGTTATGCTTTTGAGGAATATAGATCAAGCAAATGAATTATGCAATAGAACTAGACTGATTGTTAATCAATTGGAAAGAAACATACTTGCAGCCACTGTTGTTATGGGAAGAAATATTGGTGATAAAGTATTCATCCCAAGAATGAATTTAGTTCTTTCAAATTCTCGGTTACCTTTTAAGTTTCAAAGAAGACAATTTTCATTAGCTCTTTGTTTTGCAATGACTATTAATAAGAGTTAAGGTCAAACACTTTCTAATGTGGTTTTTACTTACCAAGGCCAGTGTTCTCCCATGATCAATTATATGTTACTATCTCAAGAGTGAGAAAGAAAGATGGATTGAAAATATTGATTTTAGATGAAGATAAGAAGCTTGTTGTTATATTATGTAAATGATTACTAGACGAAATACATTTTTTACTTAATCTTTTTTCTAATAATAATCTCTTATATTTTACTGACAAAACATACATTATTGCATTATATATCATACATTATTAATAAATAGAAAAATAATTATATGACAAAATAACAACGCTTACTTTAATAATCATAAGAATATTAGTTTATTTATATTATTTTAAAATAATATGATCAAAATGTATTTTATTTGAATAGTAAAAAATAATTAATATATTTATATTATTAAATTAATTTCTTTAACAAAGAGTGAGAAAATAATTATGTTTATATTACTAATAATAAATAACAAATAATCACCGATATATATTTGATCTGTTATAAGTTTATATGATAAATATATAGAAATTAGATTATTAATTTTGTCTAAATTTATTTTATAATTTTTTAATAATAAAAATTTTAAAATTTAATATTATAAATTATTTTATGCATTGCACGAGAGTCCATTAAACAGAAATATATTCATTAAGCAATCATATATTAAAATTATCTATGTATTATCTAACTTATATTTATTGAAATAGTTAGAAATAGTGAGTATATTTACCTTATTTAATTATTTTTTACATAAAAAATAAGAAAACAACAAAATTTATTTTAATAAAGAAAATAATTTTTGTACTAACTAATTGTCAATTGTAAAAATAAAAGTTAACAAGAATTCACTCACTACAAATGTGCCTAATAAATATATGTTTTAAGTAAAAATTATTGACAAAACATACATTATTGCATTATATATCATACATTATTAATAAATAGAAAAATAATTATATGACAAAATAACAACACTTACTTTTATAATTATAAGAATCTTAGTTTATTTATATTATTCTAAAATAATATGATCAAAATGTATTTTATTTGAATAGTAAAAAATAATTAATATATTTATATTATTAAATTAATTTCTTTAACAAAGAGTGAGAAAATAATTATGTTTATATTAATAATGATAAATAATAGATAATCATCGATATATATTTGATCTGTTATATATTTATATAATAAATATATGCAAATTAAATTATTAATTTTGTCTAAATTTATTTTATAATTTTTTAATAATAAAAATTTTAAAATTTAATATTATAAATTATTCCGTACATTGCACGAGGGTCTATTAAACACGAATATATTCTTTAAGCAGTCATATATTAAAGTTATCTACCTGTTATCCAACTTATATTTATTGAAATAGTTAAAAATAATAAGTATTTTTATTTTATTTAATTAAATTTTCACATAAAAAAAAAGAAAATAACAAAATTTATCTTAATAGTCAAAATAATTTTTATATTGACTAACTACCAATTATAAAAACAAAAGTTAACGAGAATTCACTTACTACATATGTGTCTAATAAATATATATTTTAAGTAAAAATCATCAATAAAATATACATTATTAATAAATAAAAAAATAATTTTATAACAAAATAACAATGCTTACTTTAATAATCATAATAATCTTAGTTTATTTATAGTATACTAAAATAATGTGATTAAAATATATTTTATTTGAATAATAAAAAATAATTAATATATTTATATTGTTAAATTAATTTCTTTAATGAGAAAATAATTATATTTTTATTAATAATAATAAATAACACCAATATATTTTTATCTATTATATGTTTATATGATAAATACATACAAATTAAATTATTAAATAATTTAAATTTATTTTATAATTTTTAATAATAAAAATTTTAAAATTTAATAATATAAATTATTCCGTGCATTGCACGGTCCAAACTAATATATATATATATATATTAAGCACCATTTGCTTGGTGGGTGTACTGTGAACTTCCTTTCTTGGATGTTTACGTAGCCATAGTTTCGGTGTTGCATGGCTTTTATTAATTCCATTGATTGCATTGGATTTTCTCTTAAATTTAAATTTATTTGTCGTAATCACTATCTTTACACTTGATTTCAACCAAATTATTGGTCTTGAATTATGATATGTTTTTGTTTGGTTTTTCACCTTATACAACATTTGTTATCCAATATTTACCATACTATATATGATGATTGAATGGATCCCTGCTCTCTCTCCTTTATTCTCAACCACAATGTCATCATTTTTGTTACTAATACTTTCTTTCATGATTGCTCGAGGAAGGTTGGTCTTGTCATCTGTTGGTGCTTTCTCCAAATTTATGTTAGTTAAATAATTTATTGTTACATGTCCATTATACCCACAATTAGTGTGTAGGCCCTCAAATTCAATCTGATACCAATAGTCTTAGACAGAGGCGGATAAACTTTACAAAGACTTATAATCTTATGTTAAAATTTAGCTATATATGCAATTTAACTTTTTCAAAAGCTTTGTCATTTAACTTACGCAAAAGTTAAAATACGTAATTTGATTTTAACTTGTAGGCAAAGTTTAATTTATTTTATCTTAATTTTTTTCTTGTACGTGCTTGTAAAAGAGTTTATTCACGTTAATCCTTAATTTTAGTTTCTATATAATTAGCTACATTATATCAATATTCACACACACAATCTCCATCAAATATAATATAACAAGTTTTTCCATTGCTATTGAAAGGGCTAACAGTAAACTCTCATCATAATATACCAAACTCCGACTATGAAAATGTTTCTAAACCTTTGTTCTTTCAGTCTTAATTGAAATGGCTACAAACTTTAGAGACCAATCCCTTTTAGACAATCAGTCATAAAAGATTATTGAAAGATTATTACTAATGAAAATCTGAACATAAAAACCATGCAAATATATATATGATATTCAACCTCCAGTTTGGCTTCCCCTGTACTCAATCTTGTTCATCTCCTTAATTAATTGTAGAAAAAGCCAAAAATTCCACCCTTCCATTTCCACCGCCTTGTCACAATTTTGGAGTTATTTTGCAGTAGTTTTATTCCACAGTAAAAGCACGTACTAATGACAATTTTGTAAGATGTATCTGTTATCACTTTTAAATGCTATATTATGTCCCTTTATAATATTACTTTCTTTTTTTTATAATTATATTAATAGTAAGAATATTTTATATAAAAATGTTTTAAATTGGAATAACAATAAATACATAAAAGTGATAATAAATACTGACTACAAATTAAGATAAACGTTAATAAGTACTCAAATAGTTGAAAATATTGTATTTTTAGGATTTTTAATGCATTATAATATATTTTTTAATAAAAAATATTTTTAATTTTTTAACTAATTTCTTGCTCTCTCTGTATATAATACTGGTTAATAAAAATCAAAATAATTTAATTTTTTATTTAAAAATAAATAAAATAAAAGTATTTTTTTTAAATCACAGATATTTTCTGCTGGTAAAAATATCGCATATCAAGACAATAAGACATTAATTTTACAATTAAAAATTAATTGAGCAAATAAATTTCATTTAATTTATGAATTTCTTCCATGGACAGGCCAAGCCAGTTGGCATATTATTTTACAACTCACAATTCATTCTCCCAAACACTTTTTTTTTTTTTTTATAAATTTCATTTTATTTTCATTCTTACATATATTTGTTATTTCATACATCTCTCTCACTCTCTCTTTCTCTCTCAACCTTCTCGCTGATCGCTTTCTCGTCTTTTCTCGCCGATTTTCCTTCCCGCCAAACACTCTCTCTTCCCTTCTCCGCCGCCGCTTCTCATTCCTCTGATCCTCCGAGATTCTCCTCCTTCTCCGCGCCCTCTTTTCCTCTGCATTTCTATCAGGTACGTGATCCACTCTCACTCTACTCAATCTTCTCCAACTCCCTCACAGATCACCTTTTTCCCCATCCTTTTCTCTTAATGTTTTATTTTCGATTTGTTTTGAAATATTCAGTGTTTTGATAACCTAGGATGAAAGAGGAACTTGAATATGTGAACTAATTCCTTTTTCTTTTTTTTTTGGTTCAGTTTTATATATTTCTTAATGTCGGTTTGTGAAGGATCGTCGATGCTTGTGTTTGGCTCATTTAATCGTAGTTTAAATCTCAAGGTTATGTTTATTGGTTGTGTCGATCAATGCAGAGGAGAATAATCTGAGCTGTCACCGTTTTACATTTCCGTTTTTTTATTAACCTTAAATGAAAAGAAAATAACAGAGATTATAGCGCGGTGTGTGTATCTGTCGATTGCGATTAGATTTAGTGTTTAATTTTATATGGCATGTGGCAATTTTTTTTGTTTTGAAAATTTAAGTTGAATCTAATAATGTTGGACCTAAAATAAAAATCGGTTGATGTAGAAGTGAGAAATACTTGACCTGTGTGTGCTTTGAAATCCGTAAATGATTAGCTTGCTGATAAGTGAAGTGACCTTATTTTGGTGTTATTGGTTCTAGCCAGGGGATGTAGTTTTTGTTTTTAATTCATTGGAAATACAGTTGCTGTTGTAACCTTAAATTGTTGCAGGCTTGGAGCCGTTGGTTGATAAATGGTGCACCGTGCACTAATTTACATGTCTAAATTGTTGCTATTATTATGGTACATATGATTTGTGTGCGGAGTCAGAAAAATGAGATCCTTTTTGCTAAATTCCATTCCATGGTCCGTTACCGTTATGTCCATGTGCAAGAACGAATAATTTCTGAACTTTTTGTTGAGTTTGTCTTTTTGTTGTATTTTAACCTGTTTTGGCTCTTGTCATTTGTGAATACGCTCAAGTTATTCTACAATGGACATATCTGTCCCACTCCCACCCAACTTTAACAATTGTGCAGATGTGGTGACCAGGGTTCTATGTTTGTGTGTTCACCCTACTCAAGTCTTGTTGTATTCTTTTAATCTGTTTGTTCAGTAGTAGTGGACTTGTGGTTGATAATAGCTCAGGAAGCCTTTTCAGAGTTGTGGAGGTAGGTGAATTTTGGGTTTAGATATAATGCTGCTTGTCAAGCTTCAAGTTTTCAACAGTAAACTAGTGGCTTCCTTTATTGGGAGGTCTATTACTTAAAAAAAGTGTACATGCAGTCATGAGCTGCAATGATCTTGTGGATTGCACTGACGATGCTTGTTTAAGATTTCGGTTTGTAGCTAATGTAAATCATGAACATAATCTTTTATTTAGGTAACAATGGACTAATTTTCTGGTGCTTAGATTCACAACTAGATGTTAGTTGCAATTTATTTTCCCACACTTGGCAAAGCGCAATTTGTTATGGAGGCTGTTATACTTAAACTGGATGAATAAATGAGATCATGTTTGTGTCATGTTTCGCATATTGAGCTGTTAAATGGTTTGACTGCATGATATTCAGTTTGTAAACTTTTTCATATATATAAAAACTGTACAGAAACAATTCAGGGAAATTGTTTTCATTTAATAGTCTCTTTTGGAAAGCTAATTATGTACAATAATACATTAATTATGACACTTGTCCGCCGCACTGTACAACATACAAAACACATTAGAAAGCTGCTGCAAGTCTTTGTTGGGTCGGGCTAAGTTGCAGTAACTTTAATTAGGATTGCCTCCTGTCCTACTGACATCCCCCCTCAAATTGATGCAGCTAATCAGGAATCATTAATTTGCCTATGAGAAATTAATGACAATGTTGTGGTATTGCTTTGGTAAAAGACATCAACAAGTTGAAGATCTGGGCGATGTACAGAAGCGAGATAACATGACTGTCAAAAAATTCATGAATAGAATGACAATTCACACCTTAATATGCTTGGTGTGCACATGGAAAACCACATTAGTGCCAATTGGAATAGCACTGGTATTATTTGCATAGAGAGATTATATTGAGAAAATTCTAGCTTAGCCAATAAATCACAAAGCCTAATGATCTTAGAACAAGCAGTAGACATAACACAATATTCAAACTTGTTTGAAGACTTGGATGCTCACATTTGTTTCTTACTTTTCCGAGGAATGAGGGGAGGCCAAGGATCATACACCACTTATAAACAAAGCACCACGTCTAAAGGAAACCAGCCCTATCAACATCACTGTAACCAAACAATTGAAGGGATGATGCATCTGAAAAAAATAATCCATTACTTGAAGCACCTCTCATATAGCGAATAATATTATTAACAATAGCCAAATGGAGTTGTTTAGGGGTTTGCATAAACTGGCTAACTTGTTGAACAACAAAGAAATGTTAGAAAGAGTTTCACCCTTTTCGTGATAATATTTCATCTTGACCTCTCAAGGCATGTCAACTAGAGAAGTAGATTGAAGGCTATGAAAATAGATCTAGGCCAATTTAGGTAAATTTCTAGATAAATACTTATAGGAGAAAAAAATAAAGATGTGATCTGAATAAACCCTAAACCATAAAGAACATAAGCTGATATTAATTTATGGCAGGGATTTGAATTAACTTTACTGTTTTATAGAGTAAACATCTCTGTATAATCTACCCCATATTTTTGTTTGTTGCCAAGAGCAATCATCTAAGCCATATAATACTCTAGAGAATCATTGGAATTAAGCTTCACATACATCCACTTGCACCCAAAGGATTTAATACTAGGAGGGCCGAGGGCCTGGATCAATATCTCGAAGCTTGCATGGCTTGTTCCCAACATGCATGGTTAATTTTTTTAGCATAACAAGTAGGGCAAGAATGCTAGATAAAGTGACATTGAGAGAAGTGTGTGGGAATACATATTTGGTGGATGAGAGACACAAGCAGATCTTCTAGGTGCTGGTGGCACACACAATGGTGGTGGGTCAATGTTGGGAGTGGGTAACGGTGGGTGATGTCTCATATGCACAACATCTGGTATGAAATGCTCAATAGAACAAGGACAACACTGAAGTTAGGAAGCATAATGAGCCTTAGAAGATCTTCCGGTCTTTTCTCATTTCATATATATAGAAATTCTATTAAAACAATTCAGGGGAATCTTTCCGGATTACAAATGAGATTCTCTCTTATTCCTTTGAGCTGTGCAATCTATTATTGGAAACTTCATCATGTACAATAAATATGTAAAATATGACACTTGTCTGCTGCACTGCACACAACACAAAACCTTTTACAAAACTACCTCATGGCTTTAATGGGCCCTGGGCACAAGTTGCAGTAGCCCTAATTAGGATTTGTGCCTGTACCCCGTGATCATCTCATATGATGCAGCGTGATATTTTGGAGATATGCTATTTCGTCTGATCTGGACGCTAGTTTAAAAATTTTAACTTTTCAACCAAGGGTCCAGGTCTTGGGGGTGAAAGAAGCAGGAAAAATTTATGCTACTCTCACATTTCCGTAGGTTTCTAAGATACTTTTAGGGAATGGAATCATGTTTTTTACTCTGACATTGATCTATCAATTGACAGGAATATTTTTATTTTGGTAATAATCAGGGAAATTCCCTGCTTCAAATAAACAAATGTGTTGTTTCATGTCTTGACAACTTTTACTTGTTTGCTGGAAATTCAGTTTTTCAAATAAGCAACGTTTCATCTTTTTTCCTTGTGATATTACATTTAGCTTGATTTACATGTATTACATTATACTTTTCTGCAGGTGGTCTAGAAAAATTGCTTAGTAAGCTTTTGTGTGAATAGATGCCAGTTACAAAACTCAAAGTCTCTGACACACCAGATGTCATGAAAACAGAAGACAGAATAGATACCATAATTAAACAGGCAATTGGCAGAGAACCTGTCCTTTCTTTTCCAAGGGCCAGTGAAAGCCCTGTACAGTGGATTCAATTACTCCATGCTTTAGATCAGCAAGGTGTTAACAATTCTTTTTCAGGTTTGATTATTGATATTTTTGGAAGGTTCATTTTCAAAAGCATTAAAGCAATACCCATTTGAATACATTGGATGTTAATTGAATTGAAGCATATGCATTAATCATGTGATATGTATAGGATGCCTGTATGTATAGCATCTGCATTAGTTTAGAGTCTTTAGACTACTGCTTCCTTTGTGTTGTCTTATTCAAAGATGAGAGTTATATCATATATGTACAATGTATCACAAATAACTTTTGGGCCTGTTATAGGTACATTTTGGGTTCGTTTGTTTTAAAATTGGGTAGAATTAATTTTGATAGAATTAATGTTCAACTGTTGAATGTAATTGTGATGTGTGTTAAAGCTGATCTTAACCATAAATTTTGATTAGAATGCTTGTGATGGTTGAAGTAATTGATATTGAGTCTAAAACAAACAGGCCCTCAATTGAAGCCATTTATTCTGATATCACTTCTCATTCACTTGACAGAATTTCCAGGGTGGCCTTTGCTCTCTCCTCTGAAGGTTCAGTTGCAGAAGTGTGACAAGTGTTCCAGAGAGTTTTGCTCTTCAATTAACTATAGAAGACATATACGTGTACACCACCGGTTGAAAAAGCTTGATAAGGTATCATTTAGATCTCACAAATAATGATATCTGTTCTCTTTGTTTGTGCATTAACCCTTATGTGTTTTCTTCATGATATACTTAGATAGCAGCTTATTTGTTTCTTTTCCTTGTCATCCTTATGTTTTTCTGATGCTGTTTAGGCATCGCAGGATTATACAAAAACTAGGGATCTTCTAGGAGCTTATTGGGATAAGGTAATATTTCATCACTGTTAAATTTACACGTGAATAAGTCAACTTGTTTTAATGTGTTGATTTTATTCATAATTTGTATAGCTCTCTGTAGAAGAAGCAAAGGAAGTTGTATCGTTTGAAAATGTGATGCTGGAGGTAAAATCACGTTGCTCCTTACATTATTAAGTTATTTGAACATGAAGTTATTTTAATGTTAATCATGCATACTGTTTATATGCCAAATATATTGGGAGAGATGAAACCAAGGGAGTATGGTAAAATTAAACATCTCATCTTTCATCCACTTCTCATGCGTACTTTTTAATTATGACAAACTGAGTACTTGTGATAGTTTATAGCTCCGAAGTCTTGAAATTCTGCCACAGATATACTATTTTTTTATTTACATCTATTTGTACCTCGACTACTTTCCTGATCATACCTATACATTTTTATTGTTCTTGCTAATTGCTATATTGATTAACAAAATCCATTACCCGATCATTCTCCGTGTGATTGGAAAATTATAGTTTCCTTTTCAAATGTGAATGTGCGTTTTACAACTTATCCATCCTTTTGTTTTGCAATTAAATATATTTTTTTAGAAGAAATTTTTATTAGATATAAAAGAGAAAAAAATCAGGGGGAGCATAAGAAATCATTTAAAGAAGAGTGTAAATGCTAAAAATGACTACAAATCTATCTGCTCTGGGTGTGAGTGTTTGTTGTTGGAACTGAAAACTCATCTTTTAAGGGTTTAGGGTTTAAAAGGTTTTGGTAAAAAGTAAGGAGAGTAAAACTTTTTGGCTGTGTATAATTTGCGTGGTTCTCTGGGTGAGTATAAAAAAAAAAAAAAAAGAATTCTATTAGGGACACAATGCTACCCATAACCTGAAAAATGTTGCTCCAGGGAAACTAGTCACCTTATGGTGCAAGAATAAGTGGCCTATACTGTCTCTGAGCTTGATCTGCATATAAGACAAACACATGTTGGGAGAAAGAATAGCATGGGGTTTCAAATTTGCTGCAAGATTGTATTGTTAAGCCCTGCTGTCCAAACAAAAGACTATGCTTTAGAGGGAGATTTGGATTTCCAAATTGTTTTCTCAATACTTAATTTTTAAATAGTAGGAGTGCAAGTTAGGAACGAAACAAAACATTTATGAAACACCCCTGCCAATGTTGGCTCAAAAAGCCAGTATATGTCCTAAGCATGATGCAGATGCACACATCTTTTGTAGTTTCTCTTATTTTCTGCTCTTACTATCTTTCACATTTCCTATTTTCCCTAAATTAATCTAAATATCTTGCTTTTCCTCATTGACAATGCTAGGAAGTTCAGGGTTCTTCAATATTAAATGCTCTGACAAGTCTTGTTCGAAAACAAGGATTTTCTCCACTTCCACAGTATTATCTGAGGGCTGGTGCTGCCCTTTTGGTAAGCAGTTTTATGATCCAATTTTCGATTAGTTTTTATTGTTAAATTTTTTTAAATATAAATCTTTGGTATATTAATGCAATATATATAAATTGTTTGCAGGATATTGTTCAATCTAAACCTTCCAGTTTCCCTATATCTTCCCAGGAGTTGTTCAGTACCCTTGATGATGCTAGTGAAAAAACATGTTTATGGGGAACGGCAGTGTCAATGCAAAGATATGTTTTTGATGGAGAGGCTGGAAAAATTGGTCTTGAACCAAAAAACCTAGTTGCTTGCACAAGTTTCTTGTTAGAACAGAAATTGGTAATTGTTTTCCATTACTTAAAATTATGTTCATAACTTCATATACTTCTTCTCCCCCCCCTCTTTTCTATCTTTAAGCCTAAAAGCTTGCTTGTAAGGTGACAATTGCTTAAGACTTTATAAGAATTACTTTGACCATATTTGTATTCAATGTTTTTAAACACACTCCTTGATGCATAGGTTTGCACATATGGAGCATGGAAATTGTAGGTCTGATTTTTTTATTTATATTGCACTGGAAAAGTTGTTGAACCATGAGATTGCATTAGAATATTTACTGGACTAAGCTAATTGCACTAGAAAAATCTAAGGGGTTTGGTTGAGATTTTTAAGTCAGGATGACCTAATATTAGATTACATTGGATTTTTGATATCATCTTGAATTGGGCTTGGCCTAACTCAACCCTAAAAGTTACCTTGTAAGATGAGGATTGCCTAAGCCTTTTATTAATACTTTGGTTATATTTATAGTTGGTATGGGATTTCAACAGTTTCAAAAGGTTTGTTTGTTATACAATGCCTGGTGTTAGTCTGTTAGATAATAATAAGTTCTGCACTCGTGGATTAACAACGATTAAAGGTACATTAGGAAAATGACTTTTAAAGTCTACCTAGCCTAAGACATTTTAGACAAAGAAGTCATTCAAGCTTGAAGTCACTCTTCCAATTTTGGATCAGGCCCACATTTAAAATCTTAATACCTTGGAAAGTTGGAGGTAGATCAGGTGTCTGCTCAGAAATACGGGAAACATTGTTACATCACTGGGAAGGTTGTGCCACTAGACATATGATCATGCTATCCTGCTTCCATAATCATTATCATGGAAAGTATCCTGATAGTGGATGACGTGCACTTTGTTGTCCACACTTCTATCTTGGGTTGAGAGTTCACCAATTTATATGTATACATGAATATCCCTTTTCCTTGTACACTCAAAGAAGAGAGATAAGTTAAAAGACAAGTAGAGAGGGAAAATCAATGTGGAACAGTTTTTCAGAATCAAGGGCTGCTGAAAATCTCTCTTGATAATTGACTCATGAGTCCTGCTCATGTCAGATTTATTTAAATTTGTAGAGAACAGAAGGTCCTAGCATAACTTGCTCATAAAATACAATACATCAAAGTCTCTATGTATTACTACAAACCAAAATGCTTGGTTTCCCAAATTGATTCTTTCTGTTGTAATCATGATGAATATGATGAGCTTTCATTCACTTAGGTGAAGGCATGGCTTGCTGACAAGGATGCTGAAGCATTGAAATGCCAGAAGCAATTGGTGGAGGAGGAAGAAGCTGCTCAGAAAAGGTACCAGGTTGAGTTTGAGCAATACAATAAAAGTCTAGTTTTGAAAAACTAAAATCATCTGAATTGAATGAAATTTAGGATATAGATTGGAACACGAGAAACCCTTTTTATGGTTTTGTTTTGTGAAACGAGATTCATTCCCACAATAAACCTGTATAGCTAAGAAACACAAAGCAGAACCTAATGCTATTTTGGTTGATAGGCCCTTGCATCATCGACCTGAACTCTCATCATAGTTTCCGTAAATTTAACGTAGCATGTGATTGCCTTTAAAATGGTTTTCATTTAATTTTCTCATATTGCTTTTGAATTGTATAGTACTACTGTAACTTCTAATGAACTATTATAATAAATCATGCGCTACATTAATCTTGAATGAAGCTTATACTCTTGAAAACTGTTCATGTATGGATGGTAGGACTTATTATATAATAATCCACTCTGTTTATAGACAAGCTGAGATTTTGGAGAGGAAGCGCCAGAAGAAGCTTAGACAAAAAGAACAGAAGGCTAGGGAACAAAGAGGCAAGGATGAGACAGAAATTAAAGGGAATACTGCCAGTACTGTAAAGGCTTTATCACCTGAAGAAGCATCTTTGGATACATACAATTTTCCGGAAAATGCACTTTCACACGTACCTTTCCAATGCCCTGAAACTAGTGAAGGAATAGATGGAGAAACAGATACTCATTCAGGGTATGAATTTGTCACTGATCAGAATATTGGGAGACAGTCAGCGCATGGTCAGAATCATCAGCACATAGCAGTTGCCAGATGGCAGCAGGGGCTGCCAAAATCACAGTGGGCTGTAGCCAATGCTTTGCATACAAATCAAAATTCTCAAATTTCAAAAGTTGATTTGATTCAAAAACATGGAACCCACCGTGATAGTAGTAAAGTATGGAGTCGAAAACCTAAGACAGAAATTGACAAGGTGGTTTTAAAAACCATTATTGAGGGAGAATCCAACCAAGTTAAGAATCATGAAGTTTTGATAGGATCTATATCTGTTAACCTTGGCAATTCCAACCAATTAGAGGGTAATATGGTGGCTTCCCAAGAGGACTGCATGGTTGAGAATGTGGCCAAGCAGAATAGTTTTCAGGATAAGCCCACAAAACCTGATTTTGTCACATGTGGCAATAATCGGTTAACAGTTAAGTGTTGGAGGCCAGTTAGCCGGCTTGAAACTAAAGATCCATCTCCAGTTCAAAGAGGTGAAACAGATGTTGATGCACTTCATGGAAATGGAGGTGGTCAAAACTTGTCAGGTCCAAGTTGTTTAGGGTTGTGCTCTGTAGATGGTAATGATATTGGTTTTGAAAACGATTTCTCCCATCTAGAGGGCAGAGTGGATCCAGGGAGCTTACGGTTTTCCAGCTGTGCTGCAAAAGCTTTTCTTGCACAAAGTAAGCTTTGTCACTTCATGCAGTTGTCATGGTTACTTCTATTTTACTGATAGTGCGATTAAATGCTTGACTTGGTCTTTAATTTATTTTCCCTGATTAAAAATTTAAAACAATTCTCATGCAGGATGGAAAGAAGCAATCTTATCAGATCATGTAACATTGGTTGTTTCCCATGACTCTGAACCTCCGGGGTGCCAGGAGATACAGGATTTTAAAATAGCTGAATGTCAATCTTCTGATGTTGATAAATGCAACATTCCCGCAATTGCAGAGAACACGTTGCCTGGAACCACCAGAGTTACTAAATCCAAACCCAGGTTGAAGTCTGAAAAAGGAACCAAGATCAAGTATATTCCTAAACGGATGACAACTACCTAATATTAAAGAAGAAAGTAGATTAGTTAGTTATACAGATATATAGAGTTTGACTTGTTGCCAATTAATATTGTTAGCAGAGGTTTCCAGTTTTACCAGGTCTTCTGTCGGAATGCTGAAAGTAGGTTTTGCTGGAAATTTTTTTTTATATCCTTAGATTCTTTTTACTTGTGGGATTACTATCAATTTTTTTTTGTGTAATAATTTTGTTTAAATTCCTAAAGGTCAAATTTTTTTTTTCTTTGGGTGCCTTGGTCATCGTCTTTATTAGACAAGATCTTTTCATCTTCCAACATTGTCTAAATTTTGCCTGCAATAACCCTATTACTTGAGATGATTCAATGATTCCAAGTTTGTTTAGCCTTACCACTTTCTTTCCTCTCCTTCCAAAATTGTCTAAATTTTGCTAGTAATAACCCTATTACTTGAGATGATTCAATGATTCCAAATTTCTTTGGCTTTACCATTTTCTTGCTTTGCTGTTTCAGCGCAGCGTGTAAAAGGTCAAGAAGATATATAGTGATGTAGTTATCCTTAATATAAAAATATTAATATTTTTTATTTACAGTATTATTATAATTACATAATTTTAACCCTTTTATTTAAATAGAAGCATATAAATTATATGTATCAAACATGTTGCATATACAATTAATTTGAGGATGTTTTAAAAATTTGGTATAGATATTTACCAATTATGAGAATTTATAATGTAGTGATATTTTTTTATAAAATCTTTTTTCTAATGAAGTGACAGTTAATCTCAATATTTAGTCTTTTCATAGAAAAATAGATTTAATAGTATATAAATCTGTTTAATTATTGCAAATAAGTTTTAAATCTTAATATTTTGAATAATTGTTTAAGCAAGATAAATTTACAAATGATTAAAGTTATGGTTCAATATTCTACTTTAGACCTTTCAACTATACTTTACTCCTTATTTTTCTTAGAAATTATATTTCTATTGAAAAGGATGCAATAGCTAGATATAGGCTTCACATCATTAAGTAATCTTACCCAATTTATATTTGAGTACCCCATAACCTAAGTATGTCGTTTGTCTTCATATAAGAGACTTTTTCTTGGAGCTCCTTTAATATACTTTAGAATATGAATTACTACATTTCAATGTGTGTCACAAAAAAAGTTAAGAAACTAATTTACTACACTAACTTTAAAAGAGATGTATGGGTGAGTAATTATGAGATAGTTTAATTTTCCAACAAATTTTTTATACCTTTTTCGATTTGAAAGTGGCTCCTATTGACTTGGCAAAAGTTTGGTATTAGGATCTATAAGAGTATCAATAGGTTTGACTTCCATCAATCCTATTTCTCCTAGGATATCTAATGCATATTTCCTTTGAAAAACTACAACACTACTCTTAGATTGTGCCACCTCAATCCTCAAAAAGTATCGCAATTTGCTAAGATTTTTGGTTTGAAAGTAATAAAAAAGGTATTGTTTTACATGTTCAATGCCATAGTGATCACTTCCTTTAATGACACTGCTATTTACATACACAAGTAAATATAACTCGAGGTTGAATACAATAAAAAATTGAGTGATCTGCTTCACTTTGTGTCATGTCAAACTATTGAACCACCATATTGAATTTGTCAAATTATACCCTTGGAGATTGTTTGAGACTATAAAGAGATAACTAGAGATGATAAACTAGTCTTGAAGACTCCCTTTGAGCAGCAAATTCAAGAGGTTACTTCATATAGACTTCTTTTTTAACATCACCACAAAAGAAAGCATTCTTGATATCTAAGCTGAAAAAAAAAAGGCTAATGACAAATAGCAATCATAGATATGAGTAGCTAAACAAATGTCATTTTGGCTATAAAGGAGAAAGTGTCATCATAGTTCAAACCAAATATATGTGTATAAGCTTTGGCATTCAAATGAGCCTTAAGGTGATCAATTTTACCATCAAGATCAACCTTAACCATTTAGATCCACATGCAACCAACAAGAGACTTCTCAAGAAGAAGAAAAACAAGTTCCTAAATACCACTATTTTGAAGAGCGCATATCTCATCAATCATTACTTGTTTCCAACTGAGATGAGGGAGAACATCACTTATAGACTTAGGAATAGAAATAGAGGACAAGAAAAACAAACAAGTATAATGGAAAGAGGACAAAAGTTGAAAAGTTAAAGAGATATAATGAGAAGAATTAAGAGTAAAGCATAAAGTATGAAGAGCAATGAGAGGTTTAGTCTTAGGAAGCAAGCCTAGAGGAGAAAGGGTGAGTAGCACTGAAGTAAGTCAAAGATAGGCCGATCAGACATTGGTGGTACAAAGAGGGGTTGACGACAGTTATACACCTATATAGGACGCAAACAAGGTGATTTTGGTGGAAGATAGTGAAAAGAAAGGTACATAAGCTAAAGGAGAGAAAAAAAAGGTAGACTCAGAGACTGAAACAAAAGGACTGAGTGTAAAGAAAATAATAACTTTAAAAGTTTAGGTATTTGAATTTAAATACCTCATCACAAGACTAAATTCCTCTCATAGGTGTATTTAAACTTTGCGCATTTCATTTACTTTATTTTAGCCTATTATTTCAATTGTTTTTTTTTTTTTTTTCACTTTCATCATTTGGGCCATTCCTATTCATTCTTTTAGCATCATTCTTGCAAACCATTTTGGTTGAGTCAAGACTAGAATTTCTTCAACATTAGTTGGTATGTTCAACACATGTTCTAAATAGATCTTTACCTCAAACTTGTTTTTTATTGCATAATTTGTCATTTCTAATGCATGGCTATCTTGAGTAATTGATTTTAAACCATCATCAAAATTAGACTCCTTTGTTATCTACCACATTTTTACATTTTCAAGATGTCTCACAATATGTTTTACAATTCCTAATGCCTCAAAATATGATCAAGTATCCACATCCAAATTATGAATAACATGAACCTTTCTCATTGATAATTGGGTCATGAGTTATTTACAAACTACTCCTTGTGATGGCATAGAGGGAAAAAAAAACATTATTACATATTAAAAGTGTGTATTAAGTCAATTTAGTGTTATGTCCGGTGCAACTATTAAATAATTATAATGGTCTAGAATTAAACAAAAAGGGGGGAATTTAAAAATCGAGCATGAAATTGAATAAAGACACTTGAACGAACAATCATATTTGGGAATGAATATAATAATGAAATGGAAAAACATCAAAGGAGTGAATATGGAGTGTATCTCGTAAATGTATTGCTTTGTCACTGGCCGAGAGCCTTATATATAATAACAGAGATAAAACTTTATAGCACTTTCTAATACTTTGAGTAAATTCATATGCATTTTTCTTATACTCATGTCAATTCAATCTATCAAAGCTATTATAAGAAGGACCGTAGCAATTGGATCATTGCCTAGAAGTTTTCTGATACACAGGATCCTTATAACAAGGCAAGTGTAGAGCATACTTACTTCTAGTCATGGACTAGAAGATATTCATCATAAACAAAGCTTTCAGAGAGAAGTTTAGAAAGAACTCATGATATATGAAAACACAAGTTTTATTTTTAGTTTCGTCTGCCTCTAAAGGGCAAGAGTTCCTCAATATATAGAGGATGGAAAGCAAACATAATTATTACAAGAGACAGGTTTGGATAAGAATCCCTTATCCAAACCTTTTACAAAGTGTCTTTGAGCAAGCAAACAAAGAAGAAAACTTTTAGTACATATGAGTCACACTAAAAACATAATACATAAAGATGCTTTATTACATAAAGTTGCTTTTCAGAGATTCTTCAGTCCTTGCAGATAGGCTCATGGCTAGGAGACAAATTTGGGTCACCATCAGTTCTCCATCCTTCCTGATCCACTACAGATTCGTATGGATCCTGAGAGTCTATTATTGTATCAATAGCATGTGATGATTCAACTTCACCACTAATTATGACATGACTTTCTATTTCCCAATTTTCAAAAGTAATGCTGGAAGAAATCAAAGGTGGAATTACTTGTTGGACTTTGTTCTACATATTTTGATCATAAGGATCTGGAGAGCAGATAATATCTATAGATTTTAACATTGTACATGTGGAGTTTACTTTGATCATTTCTTCCTAAGCTCCATTTTCAATATGGAGATGAGTAATCAAATCAGCCTGATGAAATTGTGGTCTTTTCAGTTTTGTTATATCCCTTATACTTCCATAAGTGTTACAAAATCTAACTTGATTTTGAGTATAGATTAATTTAGAAACTAGATGTTTGAAATAAGGTCTATGAATAATTACTACAGTAATATTTTTTGGAAACTCAAGAGGAGGTAAATTAATTTCTTTCCAAATACAGACTCTCTCCATTTCAGACTGAATGTCTTTCTTCCAACACTGAATAGGTTGGAACCAGGTTAAGAATTTACATAACAGGGATTACTCATGCTGAGGATTATTAAGAAATTCAAACATCTTAAATGTGGGAAAGACTATGGGATAATGAAATAAGAGAGTGACACACCATAAATACCAAAGATCTTCTTCAATCATAGGAAACTCCATTAATAAAGCAAAAATATTTACATAAGGAGCATCAACATGAAACCATGAAGGTTTTGGTTTGACACCATGGTTATGAAGAGAAAGAGCTAGATAATGGAACATATGATTTCAAGCAAAATCTTTAATGTATTCTATAGTGAGGAAACCATCATTATTCACCTCAACTGGAAAGATATGAAGAGGTTAGTAACTTGTACTTGCTTCAGCTATGTTGAGTGGAAATATTAGTGGATAACTATTTGCAAAAGTGGTAATGGAGATAGACTTTTTTGGTCTGGATAATAGAGCAGGGACAATATTCTTTTCTCCTTTAATATGTTTAACAGTAAAATCATACCTATAGAACCAATTCTTAAGCTTAAGAATTTGAGGATCAGGAGACATTGTTTTTGAACTCAAGAAGAGCTCAAAAAGAGGAATTATCCATTTGAACTTCAAAATTGTGTCCTCTTAAATGGAAATCAAATTTTTGGATTCCATTTTTTACTGCTAGAGCTTTTTTAAATGTAATATGATAATGCTTATCTAACTCTTTGAATTGTCCACAATAAGCATTTTTTCCATTTATTTCTTCTAACAGAATAGCTCCCCAGTAATGATCACTGGTATCAATTTGTAGATCATTTTTCCTTCA